CCCTAGTCTCTTGACAGTGATTACCTCACTGTATCTGCCCCTAGTCTCTTGATAGTGATTACCACACTGTATCGGTCCCTAGTCTCTTGACAGTGATTACCACACTGTATCGGTCCCTAGTCTCTTGACAGTGATTACCACACTGTATCGGTCCCAAGTCTCTTGACAGTGATTACCACACTGTATCGGTCCCTAGTCTCTTGACAGTGATTACCACACTGTATCTGTCCCTAGTCTCTTGACAGTGATTACCAAACTGTATCTGTCCCTAGTTACCTAGTTCCCAGTGTTTGGTTATTTGTCCGTGACCCACACCTGTTCCTCGTTCTGCCTCAGGAGTTGTGCTTTTAGCCACCTACCTGTGTCATGTTCTTTAGTTGCCCATTGTGGCTGTTGCCCTGTGTAGCTGTGTGGGCGTTACTTTGTGTTACTTCCTGCATCATTTAGTGTAGCGGAGGACCCCCATGTTTCCCTCAAACACAATAATGAAATTCGCGGACAACACTACAGCAATGGGCCTGATTGTGGACAATGAGACAGCCCGGTGGCACACCTAGCCGACTGGCACGCCAACCACAATCTAACCCTGAACACTAAGGAGAACATAAACAGACACAATGTGGGAAAAATAAAATGTTTACAAACAGTACAAGACGACGTGTTTAAAAAAGGTCACCTTACATGCACACACCTGTCTCACTGTCCTTTCAGCTCCTGCATTAGATATTTCTGTTCTTTCTCTAAAATCCTGCAGAGCTCATCTTTGACTCGGTTGTTTCCAGGCATGATGACTTTCTGCATCAGCATCCTCATTTGCTTGAAGGAGGTTTTCTCATCACAAATTTCCATGTACATTTCATGCTGCATGAATCTTCTTTCATAAAGTTGGTCTAAAATCAATGCCACTGCAGAGACCCTGCTGATCAGGGCAGTCATGTTCCTGTCAACAAAATGTTGCCCTAGTATGGAAAATACATAACATGCAATTAATAACATTGCCAATGTTAAAATAAATTGTGTGTGTGTGTGTGCATATATAAACTTTCCTATGTATTGTGAAGCTAAGTTTTACAAGAGTCAAGTATTAATTATGTTTTTAAAAGGCCAATTAATCACAATTAAGGACTTATTTATTGTAAAAATCTCACCATCTTTCATGTAGCCTGAAGCCCCGCCCATCTCTCCCACCTCCCCAGGATTCACCTCCCTCTCTAAAGCACCGCAGACTTCAGCATCTGAAACACAATAATATTGTCTCTTTAATCCACATGCCATATGGATCTGTGTAACTAGACCCTGTCAGAGTGACAACAATGTATTCCCCGGTATTTTCCGACATGGACATTTCAAACATGTGCAAAGGAATGCAAGTAACCACCTAATTGGTGGGGAAAGATTCTGCAAATCGTCATATAAATGAAATCAGCAATAAATGAATAAGTGTACTTTAAGATCTACAGATGGGCTCATAGCATTCAGGTAAAACACATCTGTTAACTTTTACATTCCCAGCTGATCTATCCTTATACTTTCACATTTCCAGGTCTATCCAGTACGTCTGGAAACTGTACAATTTGGTGAGTGTGGGACGAGTACGGATTAGATGGAAAGGCCAAATGACAGGGCTGTTCAGGCAATACAACACTGTCATTGTGACGGCACCAAATCTAGTTATACCTCACACCAAGGTGGGGAACTTAGGCAACTTCTGAATAATATCAAAATAGACCAAATGCAGAGATGATGTTCACCCATCTGAAACATGTCAGATCCAAAGATACAGATACAGATACAGATACAGATACAAGGGTGTGTATCTCCATGGGATCGGAACTCAGAAGTTTCCGGATTAAGTCCTGAGCCTGGGAGAGTGTTGTCACCACTGGGCCCTTGAGCAAGGCCCTTAAGCCTAATTACTCGGGGGACACTCTGTGACACTCACCTCTACATTGTTTAGACAAGAGTGTCTGTTAAATAAATGTCAGTGTACTATTAGGGACGACCTTGTGACAGGTGAGGAAGCAGGTTTTAGATTAAGGTCACAATCCAGTGAGGTGGTGGAGGTAAGAATGTAAAAAGGACAGAATAGTAACAAAAGTAATTTATTTTGGCAAACCAGTTAGTAAAAACATTAAGAAAAATACCTCCTGCCTGGTTTGAATCTGGAGCTGCTTCTGCTGTCAAAGATATTCTGCGAACCCAAACTTCATGCTGTCTGTCGTCCAAAATGGCCAATCTCATTTCTGTGATGTCATGGTTGAAGAAAACCTCAAAAGTCGGGTGGAAGTTTGGACCATAGTTACAGAAAAAAACCCACGACTGAAAGAGAAAAAAATACTTTGAATAGAGTCAAAACCAGAAAAGGAATTTCCTTTAGAATAACGATGGCTGTGAAGGTTTGAAGAGCAGTCCTGGAAGCCAAGGCTCTTGACCAGGCCTGAGTGAGGACATACGATGTGGTTCAAACATTTTGATTTGTAAAAAGCAAGACATTTTCGTCTTTGGTACTAACTATTATGGACGTATGGAGTCAGTATCCCTTGAACTACATGAAGTAGACTCTTAATTACATTATCAGGATTTATTTACATAATAGCAATTCACATATTACCTCAGGCTGGATTTCATGAACTCCTTTGAGGTCAGAGGTAACACTGTATTTTTGGTTTGCAATAAACATGCAGTCTGCAGTAGTGGTTATGTATCTGCATTTAAGGTGCTGATGTTTCACCTATAGAGAAACACAAAAATATACAAAGTCAGGTCCACACAGAGTCCGGTTATGGCAACAGACTGATTTTGTCTCTGGTACTGTTACAGATTTTAAAGAAATAAAACATCCAATTCCCAAAAATATTGGCTGATATAATTTTATATGGTCAAAAATTAAACAGCCACCAATACCTTTAGTTGAACTGCTTTACTAACTGATTATGTCAATATCTCAAACTCAAAACACATAAGCTCAATCAAGTAAATAACATAGTTTCTCAGTGCTAAACTCCCAAACCAGAGTAAAGCTAAGGTATGTATCTTTTATCCAAAGTTACTAATAAGTTATAATACAGGTAGCATAGCTTCTCAGAATAATCTCCAGTGAGATTAATAAATGTTTAAAAGACATTAGTGGTGCTTTTTCAGCAGGTTTTTAAACGTTTAATTTGTGACACCTTTATATTGGCCGGTTTTATCGATATATTGGCGCCCAAACATCGTTACCCCCTGATGGAGCAGGTATGTATCACTACTTTTCCTAATTACTCCCTTTTCTGTTTGCAATCTGCCAACGGGACCCTGGCAGCTCCACATACAGTTTGTTTAGCAAAGGCTGTTGTTTTAGCTTTGTGGGATATTTTAAAAGTTCAAAGTTTTCACAATTATTCTTAAGATCTGGGAGAAATGTATGCCATTCACTGTGTAAACAATTGCATGTGAACTTTAAATCAGGGCTCTAAAATTGTCTACAGTAAACCTGACGCTAAAGCTTTTGTAAAATTCAGTGACACCTAGTAAACCCTCATTTTCAGTAATAATTTAAATCAAGCCAGGCTTTACTCGAAGGATTACAGCAGAATATTGCTGATACTGTAGGTAGCAAATTTTTGCAGAATCTCTGACAAATCTGAAATTGCAGCTGGATAAGGAGAGAGTATACAAATAGATAAGTATAAGCCTGACAGAGGAAAGGTTTGATCATCTCAAATTTGCTGTGAATATCTTGCCACTATAACAGTAAAATCAGATGATGTGCTTAAACTGACAGACAAGGTTTACAGAACATGATTAACAATAAGGCTGATTACCTGGGAAACTGGTACATTGGAGGGTAACAGGAACATGTATACCTGTTTCTGAGGAGGGCTTCCAGGTGGGTGGAAAAGTAACACCTGCCCTCGGACGCTAGGCGTAATTAAGGAAAATATATTTCTAAGAAGACCATAAAATGAGAGATTCTGGACATGGATCATCACATGAGTGTCTGTTACTGCCAAGGGCTTCAGCACTTCCATATTTCCACCACAGAAATGGGCCACAGACAGGTGCTCTCGTCCTTCCACTGGGAAAAAGACAGATGGAAACCAGTCACAAGGAATGTTACTAGTTAATATTAACTGCGATTATTTAGTATAATAATTTGATCATGACAGTATGGTTTGGCTTCATAAAAAGTAAATAAGAAGGACTGCAAATGTATAAACAATAAAGCTAATTGTAATACAGATGAAACCCTGACATTTCTTCAGCAATGGTGCCAGTGGGAAATGAATGGAGGGACAATTGAAATGCAGAGAGAGGGTGGCGACTTAACCCAAAAAAATGCATGATGCACACAGCTTTGCCATTGTTTAACGAGTGTGTCATTACACCACACACACACACACACACACACACACACACACACACACACACACACACACACACACAGATCAACAAACCCCAGGAAACACATACCATCAACACATAATCAAATGATGACAACTCTATCAGCACTGAGGGGCTGGTTGGTCAGTGCTGGTTGGTCAGTGCTGGTTGATCAGTGCTGGTTGGTCAGTGCTGGTTGGTCAGTGTTGGCTGGTACACTAGTCCCAGGGTCTTCTGTCGTGTTTTTTTAAATCCATTTTCGGATTTCCATTTTGTTTGTTAAAAGCTATATAACAAACTAGGCTAGCAATCTTCTCTAAATACTGTGGGAAAATTGCCTTTGGTTTTTGCAAATTATTCTGGGCTGAATTATGTATTTTAATGTATTTTATTTAATTAATAAACAAATAAGCAAATAAAAAAATAAAATTTGGCTTTAATCTTCACTGAGGGGGCCTGTGGTAACGGGCCTGCTATGCTGAAAATTTATTTGGAGATCCAACATCCTCTATAAAATAAAAACCCTCCTGTTATATAATGCATGGTTACAGACTCACCGTCCGCCTCGCAGTGTGGAAGCTGCAGTGAACACAGCCCTCTCTCAGGATCCTCGATGTTGAACAGGGGCCCCGCAGGTTCATAACCAGCAGTTTTCAAAGCAGCCTCATCCCAGTAAGCTGGGCTGTACTCCACCTTGCCTGCTGCCTTCATCAGAAACACCAGCCCCGTCTCACTGCACTGAAACTGGCCTCCCGATTCACAGCTGAAGCTACACAATGGAAAGAGAGCAGAGACCAAATCAATACTGATAAAGTTATATTAAGCTGTTCAGCGTATTAAAAACTCAGCAGCGGCATGAGATAGGAGAGGTGAAGCTCAGAGTACCTGTAGGAAAGTTCATCGTTATGATGATTTAAATCTGGTCTGAACTCCACTGTGATTTGGTCCTAAGAAGAACGAAAATAAGAGGTTGGAATAAAAAGTCAGAAAAGCCTTTGTTCATGTACACTGATAGCAAACTGCATTTCTTTCCAAATCAGTTTGAGGGAGAGCAGCAGAGTACCAGCATTGTCTGTCACTGGCTTTACTCTGTGGGAAAGTCGTGATGTAAAACAAGCAGGAATGGTTTCTGTGCTTCAGTCTGTTTTAATGCCTCCTAATGTTACTTGACAATTTGTCGAGGTTAAACAAGAACCTGGTTTGGGCAATGACTTCTGGACAAATATAATAAAAAAAAAACTATTTAATAGTAATAACTCCTAACAAGTCTAATATTTTACACTTCAAATGCTTTGAATTTGATAAGAAAAGGCTCCTTAAATGATTCTGTATTATTAATTCCATTGAAAACCTTACAAAATTAAACTATGACTAAAATATGACTGATTACTTGTCATTACCTTTAATTAGCAATTGATAAAATGTATGACCGTACATCTGACTCAGAGTAAGCAAAGTCACAATGGTCTGATTAGTACCTTTGACTGGTCCCATAAGTCATAGCGTGGGTCAGTCAGGAAGGTCGCCGTGTCCGTGATTCTGTTGTTAATCAGCCTGGAAACAAACCCACTTCTCTTATACTTTGTTTAATCATAGATTGATATCAACCATAAACTTTGTTATAAGATATTAAGGTTACAGTTTCCTCTGAAGGCATTTTGATGGACTGGGAAGCTTTCTTCTGTTTCTCTATGTTAGATGCCATGAGCACTTTGAGCCACAGAACTCAGCACACAAAACACATTCTGTTAATTCAAACCTACCTCACTGTTTGGATATAGCTGCTTGTGGACACGACACTGTGGATCCTCAGAGCTCCGAGGTCAGAGATCTCATTGTTACTGAGACTAAGATAAAGAGAACAGTTAGAGGATCGCTGAGAATATTTGCTTGACACGTCAAAGAAACATTTATAAATATAAATCTGTCTGATGTGAAGCTGGTTTGCCATATGCTGTTCACTGCACATATTCTCCATTTCGGCTGACGGTAGGATCTGCTGTGGACACTCACTCCAGGACTCGCGCTTTGTGCAGATGGGGGAGCAGCAGATCCACGCTGTGATCGTTCAGCTGACAGTGACTGAGATCCAGCTCTGACAGCCTCTCTGCCTGCTCCAGCACCGCGGCCAGTGACACGCAAGTTTGGGGGTCAATCTGGATGTGGCTGAGATCCACTTTCCTGCCCAGGACCCTGGAGAGGATGGCAGCCTGCCTGGTGACCTGGACTTCATCCCCCACTGAGATCAGACAGAGGAGCTGCTGCAGAAGCGGTTTACTGACACTAGGAGGTGACAAACAGACAGGTGACCTTAGCAGGCATCACAGGAAAAGGTCATGTGTTTTCTGTACGCAGTGCAGCTCCGAAAAGAAGAGCAGGCTGAGAATATCATGAGTGGGGGTAGAAAATCCAGGAACAGCTACAACATTGGCTCTGCAGCCCTCCAGACACCAAGTAAACTATTAATACTCCACAGTAGAAAGCAGAGAAACAACTTACTTTGTTGTTACATCAATCCATACAGTATATGTTTGAAATACCTTTGTAATATTAACACTGGCTAACCTTTGCCTTTTGACAGATGCATTCCTTACAAAAACACACTTACTCCAGTTCTGATACATATGGCAGAAACTGCAGTATACTCCTTTGTTCATTCTCTTCAACTGACCAACCAACAAGTTCTACTGGTTTCTTCACTGTCTGAAATTCCAGAACTCCAAGGAGGATGGACGTCTTCCTCTTAGAGAGGTCTATAACCCAGCCTGCAGGAGCTGACTGATAAACTGGCTGCAAAGCCTGCAGAACATGCTTATGTGATGGATTCTCACAGGCTGTAAAAAATGAGTACAGATCCAGCAGAAAGTCACTCTGTTCTTTTAAAGATAATGTTTTGTCATCCAAAGCAGGGAAAGAGAAATAACTGCAGACTGATGAGAGGAGCTGCAGTTTCTTCTCTCCTGTCTCTCTGTCACACTCTGCTGCCTGAATGAAGAGATTGGCAATGAATCTGATGGCTTCCTTTGAGATGAAATGCCATTTACCCAATCTGTAACACAGTAAGGAGAAAGATTTAGGCAAATTGTATCACTCATTTATTAATTATGTAAAGTAGAAAATGAAAACACATTAAATACTCTCTGTTCTACCTGCTCCTCTCATCTGTTAAGGTGATGAAAATGGGGTAAGAATATCTGGCTTTAAAGAAATCCAAAAGTATGATAAAATATACATTCAGCTGTGATCCAGTTTTATTTTCATTTATACTTCAGAACTCTGTATGTCAATGTAAGAAGTGGTCAGAACATTAAAGTGATCAGAGAAACTGTGACAGAAGATAAAACTGTGATGTCATTCTTAAACTTTAGGCTACAATATGTGAATTTAGTAATATAATTTCCAAATGAACAAACCCTAAACAATCTCCTCAAACTCCCAGCACTGAGCTGTCTGAACAGACTGATCACATTCATTATCCCATAGAAATTAAATGTTTAGGGGAAACATGACTTTTTCAGGTTTATTAATGTGAAGGACACTTTATTTTAATCTTTTATGTAATCCAACAGTGCATATGAAGATTCTGTCTGTTCCTGCATGGAGACATTCTGCATTGACTGATGAAGCCCATGACGTAGAAGCCGTGTTCGGTTCGTTGATCACTTTGCTCTAAACCTTATATGACATGATTAACACCTGAAATGCAGAGTCACTTTTAAAAGAAATGTGTGACGCGGCGGCCCGGGACCACACAGGCCAGCAGTAACCGTGGTTACCTCACCACCGGCCGTAAGAAGTGCTAAGGGGGAACATCTGGGGAGTGAGGAGGATTCCAGTCGGGGGGGTAACAGTCTCCCAGGCCAGAATTAAAGCCCCGACTGGGAAGCAGCAGTGTATGTGTGGGCTGTGCAGGTGGAAGAGGGGGGATGAGCATCCTGAAGGGGGCGCTGCCTCCCACCTGCTGGGGCATTGGAGGATGACAACCCCAAAGTGACCATCATCTCATCGCAGGCCCCCCTTTCAGTATAGTGTTCATGTTCTGCAATAAACCCGGCACCTTCTGGGGTGTTTGTCTGCACCTAGTGCCACAGGGCAAGGAGACTCGGGGCACGGTGGATGCAGACAAGGACCCCAGAAAGGCCAAGGTTTAATGCACACACTGCTCACACAACAACTCCATGCTGTCGGCATGACAACAGTGTTAAATATATGTAGTAAAATCTACAGCTGATACACCTGAGACAATCTCCCCAGGAGTGAAGCAGCAGCGCTAGGTGGCTGCAGAGGACGAGAAGGAGGACCGCAGAAGCCATCTTGCCAACAATCTCAAAGTACGGATCTTTGTCAGACTTCCCAGTAACAGTGTATAGGACAGCAGTTCTCAAGCTGTGGGACGTGAGATTATTTTCTGAAAATTCTAATCTGTCACATCATTGTCAAACAAGCTACCAGTGAATCCTGTACATTACATAGTTTGTCCCCCTTTTTGAACAGAGAGCACCATCATTTTGACCATCACTAGGTGCTACATTTTGTTGTTAATGCGACTTTAACAAGAGAATGTCTCTTTAAAGTGCTGATAAAACACAAACACACACACACTCACTCACTCACTGCAGATCTGGTGAACTAGATTACATTGGGACAAATCACAAAGTCAGCCTTTTAACCAAGAGTTATTCTGTAGAGATGGTGGGAGAGTGTAGGGGTAGGCTTGGTCAGTATTACAGTAATGTCTTTGGGGTACTGGGGTATTTTCGGTTGAAGAATTTTGGCCCCCCCACCCCCTAGGTGAAATGTATTATGGGAGACCTCTACCACCTGGGTCAAATACTAAGACAGCATTCCTTCTGAAAATATCATTTAAACACCATGTACTGAAGTATGACATATGGAAAGAATTACAGTATGAAACATTAAATACCCAAGCTTAGTGTTGCGGTTAGAGTTTGGGTGGGGGGTGGGAGTTGGAATTAGTTGGGGGGGGTAATGGGCTGGCTGGGGAATACATTGTTGACATGCAGACAGCAGCTGGTTACTTTAGTACTGAGTTTTAATTCTGATAACACACACCCCTGCATAAAGTACTGCAATATTCCCGCCACTTATGTAATATAGAACTGAGTGGGTGGAGAGGGGGGGTGGAGCTGATCACAGGCAGCACAGGCTACAAGGCAGGGGGGCAGCCTGGATGGGACGCCAGTCCATTGCGGGTAAAAACTCATTCACACTGTCACACACACAAAAGAGTGCAACATGCAAACAGCTACTAAAACTGGTCTCGTTATAAAAGTAGAAACTTACCCCAGCTGGGAAATATAGGGCAGACACTGGAGAAAACTCTTTATCTCAGTCTCTTCATCTGACCAACCAACAAGTTTCACTGGTTTCTTCACTGTCTGGAGTTCCAGAACTCCAAGGAGGATGGACGCCTTCCTCTTAGAGAGGTCTATAACCCAGTCTGCAGGAGCTGACTGATAAACTGGCTGCAATGCCTGCAGAACATGCTTACGTGATGGATTCTCACAGTCTGTCAAAAGTGAGTACAGATCCAGCAGAAAGTCACTCTGTTTTTTAAAAAAAAAAAATCTGTAATCCAAAGTAGGGAAAGAGGAATAACTGCAGACTGATGAGAGGAGCTGCAGTTTCTTCTCTCCTGTCTCTCTGTCACACTCTGCTGCCTGAATGAAGAGATTGGCAATGAATCTGATGGCTTCCTTTGACTTTAAATGCCAGTTACCCAATCTGTAACACAGTAAAGAGCAAGGGTTAGGAAAATTATATCACGTCTTTAACACAAAAACTGAAAACTCCTTGAATGCTGTCTGTTCTACCTGCTCCTCTCATCCGCTAGTTAGCTATCCGACAGCTATCTCAAAAACACAAACACACACACACTCACTCACTCACTGCAGATCTGGTGAACTAGATTACATTGGGACAAATCACAAAGTCAGGCTTTTAACCAAGAGTTATTCTGTAGAGATGGTGGGAGAGTGTAGGGGTAGGCTTGGTCAGTATTACAGTAATATTTTTGCGGTACTGGGGTATTTTCAGTTGAAGAATTTTGGCCCTGCACCCCCCTAGGTGAAATGTATCATGGGAGACCTCTACCACCTGGGTCAAATACTAAAACAGTATTCCTTCTGAAAATATCATCTAAACACCATGCACTGAAGTATGACATATGGAAAGAATTACGGTATGAAACATTAAATACCCAAGCTTAGTGTTGGGGGGCAAGACATAGAGGTTGGGTGGGGGGTGGGAGTAGGAATTAGGTGTGGGGGGGTAACAGACTGGCTGGGAAATACATTGTTGACATGCAGACAGCAGCTGGTTACTTTAGTACTGAGTTCTAATTCTGATAACACACACCTCTGCACAAAGTATTGCAATATTCCCCCCACTTATGTAGTATAGAACTGAGTGGGTGGAGAGGGGGGTGGAGCTGATCACAGGCAGCACAGGCTACAAAGCAGGGGGGCAGCCTGGATGGGACGCCAGTCCATTGCGGGTAGAAACTCATTCACCCCCCCCCCCC